TACACAATACACTAGCTGGTTTAGCGGTAAAATCTGAAGAATCTAAATCTTTCAGATCTTCTGTAAGAATTAACAAATACGATTTTTTTTATCTTTATGGGGAAGATGTCGGTCATGTGACCAAGAGTTCCAGTTAAAAAGTTTATCATAAAACTAGCACCAAAATCAGAAACACTTGTCCTGTTTCCTGACGAATAAAACTCCGCCACTAGATCTTTCATTCACAATTTTTTTCAATATATTCGACTTTTCGACATTCCATTCACCACATTAAATATTTGCATCTAATAAACCTTCCCTTCGTCGCATCAAACCTGATTTTCTCCTATCCTCAGGTGCTATATAACCCTTAGGGGGTTTAGTGTTTCCTGACGCTGGTCTTAATCATATGATGACCCACAGCTGGAGTTTATGGTCATGTGATCGAGGCCTTCCACTGGCTTACCAGTCGGTCTGAGGCCCCCCAGGCCGACGTTCTATACAATGATAATAATAATAATAATAATAATAATAATAATAAAAAAAAAAGTAATTTATTATTATTATTATTATTATTATTATTATTATTATAATAGAGGTAGAGAAGCGATAAACCCCTAGGGGTCATATTGCGCCTGGGTATTTTGAAGCAAAACAAATTTGATCAGAGGAAGGGAATATCAGCTTCAACTCCTTGGATCAAGAGCCCTTCAGCAACATCAAGGCACCCTCTTAGTGAGTTGACATTCCATACACTCTCTTGTAAACACAAGAGAGCCTTACTAATCTCTCTTCTGACAGGTCATTAATCTTTAGTGTCAACCTTGACCTGAGAAAATGTGTACACCGGGAAGACAGATAGCAGCGGACTTGCAGGGCCACACCGAGGTTATCTGCTGAGAGCTATCTGTTTCTCCGTCTACAGGTCTTCTCTGTTTTTCTTGCTCCAGTTGTGACTTGACAATGGTCCGGGATCAGGCGACACGTCGTCACATGGTTCCTTTCTTAAGTGCGGTTTTTTGAGAGCTATTACTGTTTCTCCGTTACAGGTCTCATCATGTTTTTCTTGCTAAGGCGTGTGACTTGCAATGGTCCGGTGGCGACCTGCAGTCCTTCTAGGCGCTTTTTTTAGTTTGTACTGCGAGCGGTATTCAAGCAGACAAGCTTATTAAAACAAAGAAAATAGTTCAGCAGAGTTCATTAAGCAGAAGCAATTAGAGCAGACAAGTTCATTCAACAAAAGTATTAAACTGTCAGCACAATAACGTGAAATTATCCAGCCAAGATAATGTCACTATATTATTATTGATCTACGGCCATCTAGAGAACCACCGTGTATTACCTAGGTACACTGTGTCTACGGCCATCTAGAGAACCACCGTGTATTACCTAGGTACACTGTGTCTACGGCCATCTAGAGAACCACCGTGTATTACCTAGGTACACTGTGTCTACGGCCATCTAGAACCACCGTGTATTACCTAGGTACACTGTGTCTACGGCCATCTAGAGAACCACCGTGTATTACCTAGGTACACTGTGTCTACGGCCATCTAGAGAACCACCGTGTATTACCTAGGTACACTGTGTCTACGGCCATCTAGAGAACCACCGTGTATTACCTAGGTACACTGTGTCATATGTAGACTGTACGTGTACTTAAAAGTACTCATTCCTTATTCAGTATTACATCCGGTAATTATATATTAAATTACATAGGATATATATTGCGATTAGATACTCGGTTCAAATTAAATTGGTTAATTGGGTTTAAAGATACACAAGGATTATTAAGGCTGCATGTCGACTGTTTACCACTAATCGAAAATACTTTAAGCCCATATAGGCGGGTGCTGGGATTAAATTAATCTTCAAGCATTCATAAACTGAAATATATTTATCTTAGCATGTGTACATGAACTTCCTCTCAGTGACAACATATCACCTATAGGTTAGGTGATACATATCACCTATAGGTTAGGCTAGGTAAGAGTTGTTAGGTTAGGCTAGGTAAGAGTTGTTAGGTTAGGTTAGGTAAGAGTCGTTAGGTTAGGTTAGGCTAGGTAAGAGTCGTTAGGTTAGGCTAGGTAAGAGTCGTTAGGTTAGGCTAGGTAAGAATTGTTAGGTTAGGTTAGGTAAGAGTCGTTAGGTTAGGTTAGGCTAGGTAAGAGTCGTTAGGTTAGGCTAGGTAAGAGTCTTTAGGTTAGGTTAGGCTAGGTAAGAGTCGTTAGGTTAGGCTAGGTAAGAGTTGTTAGGTTAGGCTAGGTAAGAGTCGTTAGGTTAGGTTAGGCTAGGTAAGAGTCGTTAGGTTAGGCTAGGTAAGAGTCGTTAGGTTAGGCTAGGTAAGAGTTGTTAGGTTAGGCTAGGTAAGAGTTGTTAGGTTAGGCTAGGTAAGAGTCGTTAGGTTAGGTTAGGCTAGGTAAGAGTCGTTAGGTTAGGCTAGGTAAGAGTCGTTAGGTTAGGCTAGGTAAGAGTTGTTAGGTTAGGCTAGGTAAGAGTTGTTAGGTTAGGCTAGGTAAGAGTCGTTAGGTTAGGTAGGCTAGTAAGAGTCGTTAGGGTAGGCTAGGTAAGAGTTGTTAGGCTAGGCTAGGTAAGAGTTGTTAGGTTAGGCTAGGTAAGAGTTGTTAGGTTAAGCTAGGTAAGAGTCGTTAGGTTAGGCTAGGTAAGAGTCGTTAGGTTAGGTTAGGCTAGGTAAGAGTCGTTAGGTTAGGTAAGGTTAGGCTAGGTAAGAGTTGTTAGGTTAGGCTAGGTAAGAGTCGTTAGGTTAGGTTAGGTAAGAGTCGTTAGGTTAGGTTAGGTTAGGTTAGGCTAGGTAAGAGTCGTAGGTTAGGTTAGGTAATAGTCGTTAGGTTAGGTTAGGCTAGGCTAGGTAAGAGTCGTTAGGTTAGGTTAGGCTAGGTAAGAGTCATTAGGTTAGGCTAGGTAAGAGTCGTTAGGTTAGGCTAGGTAAGAGTCGTTAGGTTAGGTTAGGCTAGGTAAGAGTCGTTAGGTTAGGTTAGGCTAGGTAAGAGTCGTTAGGTTAGGCTAGGTAAGAGTCGTTAGGTTAGGCTAGGTAAGAGTCGTTAGGTCAGGCTAGGTATGAGTCGTTAGGTTAGGTTAGGCTAGGTTAGAGTCGTTAAGAAACGTATAAAGTGTTTCCTGACACTGGTTTTAGTCATATAGATGACTAGTTAATTATATTTGGTTAGACATGACTTAAATCGTAATGACACGATTGCAAATAAACCATACCCCCGGCCGGGATTGAACCCGCGGTCATAGAGTCTCAAAACTCCAGCCCGTCGTGTTAGCCACTAGACCAGCTAGCCACAATAAGATTCATCCAACTAGGTATATTTCTACACCATAGGAAAGTTAGCACAGGCACCTCTGTGACCACAAATGCAAGTTTTTACAGACGAATCTCCAGCTAGCGTGGCCGTGACGAACTCTAGCTCGTCCCTTCACTGCCGTCAACATGACATGGCTAGCTGGTCTAGTGGCTAACGCGACGGGCTGGAGTTTTGAGACTATGACCGGGGGTTCAATCCGGCCGGGGGTATGGTTTATTTGCAATCGTGTCATTACGATTTCTTAAGTCATGTTGACGCAGTGAAGGGACTTGAGCTAGAGTTCGTCACGGCCACGCTAGCTGGAGATTCGTCTGTAAAAACTTGCATTTGTGGTCACAGAGGTGCCTGTGCTAACTTTCCTATGGTGTAGAAATATACCTAGTTGGATGAATCTTATTGTGGCTAGCTGGTCTAGTGGCTAACGCGACGGGCTGGAGTTTTGAGACTCTATGACCGGGGTTCAATCCCGCGGGGGAAAGGTTTAAAATTTGGTTGGGTTTTAGCAAGATCGTTGGGAAATAGAACAAGTGTTCCCTGACGCGGGTTTTAGTTATAAGATGACCCGCTACCGGAGCTTTTGATCATCTGATAAAAACCTTTTACTGGCTTACCAGTCCACCCCTTTAAAAATTAAGATTCTGTGGGTAATATTTATTATATCACTTATTACATCCTTTTTAATAAATTATGCAGCTTTGTTAGCCCATAATAACAAAAGTAATATTCAATGTACACAAAATATTTGAGTCATTACAATGGATGTCACTTGTTAACAACACCTTCATATTTTTGTGGATTTTCAGATTTTTTTCTTATATATATATATGAAAAAAATATACATTCGATATTAGTCCGGTGTCTAAACATAATTTTCATCTGTGGATTTATTAATCTAAATTTAGGATACAGGAACGCAGGAGGGAGATATATATCATAATCTACACTTGAAAAATCTTGGAAGGAATGGTCCCAAATCTGCACACAGAAATCACTCCCTACGAAAGTAAAAGACTGGGCAGGCGATGCAAAATGCACCCAATAAAAAGTAGGGGCGCCATTGGTACACTAAGAGAAAACACCATAAGTGTCCGGGGCCCAAAACTGTTCAACAGCCTCCCATCAAGCATTAGGGGAATTGCCAATAAACCCCTGGCTGCCTTCAAGAGAGAGCTGGACAGATACCTAAAGTCAGTGCCGGATCAGCCGGGCTGTGGCTCGTACGTCGGACTGCGTGCGGCCAGCAGTAACAGCCTAGTTGATCAGGCCCTGATCCATCGGGAGGCCTGGTCATGGACCGGGCCGCGGGGGCGTTGATCCCCGGAATAACCTCCAGGTAACCTCCAGGTAGGTGGTAAATCTATCATCAAGTATTACTTCGTCTATAGTCTACTTTGTGGCTGCTGTTACTCATTCTAGCCATAATTTTTAAAGGGGTGGACGGGTAAGCCAGCGGAAGTCCTCGATCAGATGACCAAAAGCTCCTGCGGTAGGTCATCATATGACCCACGTCAGGAAACACTTGCCCTGTTTCCTGACAAACATTACCAACTATTACTCATGTAGACTGTAAATATATGTTCCTAATATGTCTTTATCTAGTAAAGATAAATGCATCTTACACTTCCTGTATCGCCAGATCACCAGACAGAGGCCAGCATGTCACCTTGCAGATCACCTACTAGGACTGACCTGGATGTGGAGTATCGGTTGGTGGCTTGCTGTTGTTGTTGCTGCTGCTGCTGTTGCTGCTGCTGGTGGTGATGTTGCTGCAGTTGATGCTGTTGTTGCTGTGAAGACGAAGAGGAAGAGGATCCAGCATTCTTAGGTTTCCTCTTGCGAGTTTGGATAGGCCCCTCTTTTTTCATAGTGAGGGGACGGCTTACCTAAAGGGAAACGTGGGTAGGTGAGAATGAGAGAGAATAGGTAGTGGGAAAGAGGAGGGGACGAAAAAATAAGCAGATGTACAAAGTAAATAGAATCAATACGAGGATAATTTAGGCCCAAATGATGCTATTTTCATAGACTTCCATGGGTTGCTTTACAAAAAAAAATCTTAAAGTGATATTAATAAAACAATATCCAGTCTGTATTTATATTCTTATGCAGCATTATTCTCAAGTAATTCTGTCTATAATCTAACACATATAATTAGCACACGATTAAATACAAATTACTCAGGTTATTTGATGACTAACTTTAAGGAAAATAGTGAAAATATAGTCATGTAAATTTTTAGATAGTTTAGATTTTTTTTAAATTACGCAAATTTGACCAATATTGAGATAGATTATTATGATGTGTGCAGAATAAAAAAATGGCATATAAAAAAATTGCATAACTATATTTCAATGTTTTACCTGGGAAGTGTTTGCTTCGAACTATAGACCAATAAGCCTAACCTCCATAGTGGGAAAATTTATGGAATCAATAATTGCCGAGGCAGTTCGTAGCCACCTTGAAAAGCATAAATTAATCAACGAATCTCAGCATGGTTTTACAAAGGGGCGTTCCTGCCTTACGAATTTATTAACTTTTTTCACTAAGGTATTTGAGGAGGTAGATCATGGTAATGAATATGATATTGTGTATATGGACTTCAGTAAGGCTTTTGACAGGGTTCCCACATCAGAGACTATTGAGGAAATTAAAGCACATGGAATAGGAGGAGAAATTTTTTACTGAATAGAGGCATGGTTGACAAATAGGAGCAGAGAGTTTGCATAAATGGGGAGAAATCAGAGTGGGGAAGTGTCACGAGCGGTGTTCCACAGGGGTCAGTGTTGGGGCCCCCTGCTGTTCACAATTAATAAACGACATAGATGAGGGCATAAAGGGGACATCGGCAAGTTTGCCGATGACACCAAAATAGGCCGTCGAATTCATTCTGACGAGGACATTCGAGCACTCCAGGAAGATTTGAATAGACTGATGAAAGTGGTCGGGAAGTGGCAGATGCAGTTTAATATAGACAAATCCCAAAGTTCTAAATGTTGGACAGGACAATAACCATGCACATAAAAACTAAATAATGTAGTTTTAATATTACGGATTGCGAAAAAGATTTAGGAGTTCTGGTTAGCAGTAATCTGAAACCAAGACAACAGTGCATAAGTGTTCGCAATAAAGCTAATAGAATCCTTGGCTTCATATCAAGAAGCATAAATAAAGGAGTCCTCAGGTTGTTCTTTAACTCTATACAAACGTTGGTTAGGCCTCATTTAGATTATGGGTGCACAGTTTTGGTCACCCTTTTACAGAATGGATATAATTCTCTGGAAAATGTACCCAAAGGAGTTTACAAAGTTGATCCCATGTATCAGAAACCTTCTTATGAGGATTAGATAAGGGCCCTGAATCTGCACTCTCTAGAAAGACGTAGAATTAGGGGGATATGATTGAGGTGTATAAATGGAAGACAGGAATAAATAAAGGGGATGTAAATGTGTGCTGAAAAATATCTAGCTAGACAGGACTCGCAGCAATGGTTTTAAGTTGGAAAAATTCAGATTCAGGAAGGATATAGGAAAGTACTGGGTTTTGGGAATAGAGTTGTGGATGAGTGGAACAAACTCCCAAAATACCGTTATAGAGGCCAGAAAAGTTGTGTAGCTTTAAAAATAGGTTGGATAAATACATGAGTGGATATGGGTGGGTGTGAGTTAGACCTGATAGCTTGTGCTACAGGTCGGTTGCCGTGTTCCTCCCTTAAGTCAATGTGACCTGACCTGACTAGGTTGGGTGCATTGGCTTAAGCCGGTAGGAGACTTGGACCTGCCTCGCATGGGCCAGTAGGCCTTCTGCAGTGTTCCTTCGTTCTTATGTTCTTATGTTCTTAAGTAGTACTGTTACTACTGCCATCACTACTACTATTATTACCTACACCGATTATGTTTTTGCACTTCACTCAAATAACCGGCACATAGGAGAGAGAACCTATGTGCAGGTTATTTGTGTATTGTTCCAGTCACGGTATTGTGCCTTTTTGTTCTCTTTAGACAAGTCATCCGCTTGTCATTTTAAAAACAGGAATGAGTGAGGGTTCAAGCAGTGCCTGGGAAATGGGGGGTAATCTTGCTCAATTCAAGGCATTTATTAGTTACTAGGCATGACATCGTCCATTCTCCCGAAGCACATCCCCCCCATCCCTTCAACAAAACCCAGCCCTTCCTTGTTAACCAGCCAAGGACCCTCCCTCTGCCTCTCCCCCATTCAGTACCCTCCATTAGGCTAGACCCAAACTGAGTAGCGCTGAACCAGTCAGAGTTCGGGTAATTAGATCTTAACATACAGATAATCAGTAATTAAGCCATCATGGGGTGATTGGTCTATCAGAGAGGGGAGGAGTACTAAATAGAAAAGAGAAGAAAGTGGAGGGAAAGGAGGGGAGAGAAATGGGAATAACTTAGGAAAAGTAGTAATAATAAAAAGAAGTTATGATAATAAAGAAGTAGTAATGATAATAGAGGGAAGAGATAGACGAGAAAAGCGTGGAAGAGAAGAGATATAAAATTAGAGAAAGTGATGCGTATGGTAACCAAAGAATAATGGAATGAATAGAAATAAACGAAGAATGAAGGGTTGGAGAAAATGAAGAAAAGATAGGTAATAAGAACAAAGAATAAGGGGGTGGGTTGGACAAATGGGATAATGAAAGAGGGATGGATAGGAAATGAGGATACATAATGAAATATAGAGAAGGGGTAGAGGAAGAGTAGGATACCAATATGTGTAGGAAGGTAAGAAAAGGAACGGAGAACAAATGGATTAATAGGAAGTGAGGATAAAGCAAGGGACGCTGGAAAGAAGTGGTAATATAAGAGATGGATAAGCAAGAGAGTGGTTATAGAAAGGTTGGATTGGGAAGAGTTAAACCCAGCGCTGCCTATCTGAAGGCCGCAGTTGCCGCCTATCAGAGCTAACAATCTGAACACAGCCTCATGGCGATGCCTTAACGACAAAGCAGCAGTAACAATCCATCAGCTCAGTAACGACTGCCTAATGACCGCTAAATGGGTGGTTAACGATTGCGGTGAAGCGATGGTATCTGTAAGAGTTGGTTGGTGTGTCAGTGACCAACCTGGCTCTGTTTACTTTATGATGGTCGCTTATCTTCCGGATTTGTGAGTCATAATTACCGACTTAATCCTTTCAAAATGTTATATTTAATCGTTCGAAACAATATCTGTTATTAAAATCAGCAAACTGTTTTAAAATTCGTAGCTTTTATCAATTTCTAGAAAAAATTATGACTATAAATTGAAAATATTATTAAAAATTTGAGTAGGAATGGATGATTTGTTCATCTGAAGGCCTTTGGGCAAGGGAAAGATATTTTTTATTTTTCTAACCATTTTTTTTTAGAATGAGCCGCGATTTTGAAGGTTTAAAAGACTTGATGATAAAGATATTTATAGTTGATGGTATGGGTAGGTCGGCCGGGTGGCCATAGCTACAATCTCACCCTTCCATCAACTACAATATTTCCTTTTTGTTTTAGGCTCACTTAGGCCACCCACACCAACCCTACCTCCCCCAACACCCATCACCCACACAACCCTACCTCCCCCAACACCCATCACCCACACCAACCCTCCATCCCGCCTCATCCTACAACCATATCCCTGACGGCCCAGCAATAATCACCCTACATCCCCAACCCGTAACCCACAACCCTACAGCCTACCATCCCACAACCCTACAGCCTACCATTCCACTTCCCTACAGCCTACCATCCCACAACCATACAGTCTACCATCCCACAACCTACAGTCTACCATCCCACAACCCTACAGTCTACCATCCCACAACCATACAGTCTACCATCCCACAACCCTACAGCCTACCATCCCACAACCATACAGTCTACCATCATACAACCATAGTCTACCATCCCACAACCATACAATCTACCATCCCACAACCCTACAGCCTACCATTCCACAATCCTACAGCTTACCATCCCACAACCTACATTCTTCCATCCCACAACCATACAGCCTACCATCCCACAACCATACAGTCTACCATCATACAACCATAGTCTACCATCCCACAGCCATACAATCTACCATCCCACAACCCTACAGGCTACCATTCCACAATCCTACAGCTTACCATCCCACAAACCCTACAGCCTACCATCCCAACCATACATTCTTCCATCCCACAACCATACAGTCTACCATCCACAACCCTATAGGCTACCATTCCACAATCCTACAGCTTACCATCCCACAACCCTACAGCCTACCATCCCACAACCATACATTCTTCCATCCCACAACCATACAGTCTACCATCCCACAACCCTATAGGCTTCCATTCCACAATCCTACAGCTTACCATCCCACAACCCTACAGTCTACCATCCCACAACCCTACAGCCTACCATTTCACAACCCTACAGCCTACCATCCCATAACCCTACAGCCTACCATCCCACAACCCTACAGCCTACCATCCAACAACCATACAGCCTACCATCCCACAACCCTTCAGTCTACCATCCCACAACCCTACAGTTAACCTCCAAGAAGATATAAACAAAGTTTTCCAGTGGGCAACGGTAAACAATATGATGTTCAATGAGGACAAATTCCAACTACTCCGTTATGGAAAACTGGAGGAGATAATAACTAGAACAGAGTATACTACTGACTCCGGCCATACAATAGAGCGGAAAAATAATGTAAGGGACCTGGGAGTAGTAATGTCTGAGGATCTCACTTTCAAGGATCACAACAGTGCCACGATCGCACGTGCAAAGAAAATGATAGGATGGATAATGAGAACTTTCAAAACGAGAGATGCCAAGCCCATGATGATCCTTTTCAAATCACTTGTTTCTCTAGGCTGGAATACTGCTGTACATTAACATCTCCATTCAAAGCAGGTGAAATCGCAGATCTAGAGAGTGTACAGAGATCCTTTACTGCACGTATAAGTTCTGTCAAGCACCTTAATACTGGGAACGCTTGGAAGCACTTGACTTGTACTCGTTGGAACGCAGGAGGGAGAGATATATCATAATCTACACTTGGAAAATCTTGGAAGGAATGGTCCCAAATCTGCACACAGAAATCACTCCCTACGAAAGTAAAAGACTGGCAGGCGATGCAAAATGCCCCAATAAAAAGTAGGGGCGCCATTGGTACACTAAGGGAAAACACCATAAGTGTCCGGGGCCCAAGACTGTTCAACAGCCTCCCATCAAGCATTAGGGGAATTGCCAATAAGCCCCTGGCTGTCTTCAAGAGAGAGCTGGACAGATACCTAAAGTCAGTGCCGGATCAGCCGGGCTGTGGCTCGTACGTTGGACTGCGTGCGGCCAGCAGTAACAGCCTAGTTGACCAGGCCCTGATCCATCGGGAGGCCTTGTTATGGACCGGGCCGCGGGGGCGTTGATCCCCGGAATAACCTCCAGGTAACCATCCCACAACCCTACAGCCTACCATCCTACAACTCTATAGCCTACCATCCCACAACCATACAGCCTACCATTCCACAACCCTACAGCCTACCATCCCACAACCCTACAGTCTACCATTCCACAACCCTACAGTCTACCATCCCACAACCCTACAGCCTACCATCCCACAACCCTACAGTCTACCATCCCACAACCCTACAGCCTACCATCCCACAGCCCTACAACCTACCATCTCACAAACCTACAGCCTACCATCCCACAGCCTTACATCTTACCATTCCACAACCACCACCCCTACAGCCTCATCCTTCCTTCCCTCACTCCTACACCCCATTTTCATTCCGCGTGTGTCGTGGGGTGATAAAAGCTCAGAGGCGAGCATGGTAATAGTCTTCAATAACAGACCCATATATCTTGTACTCTGTCTGTCTGTCTTTCAGCCCAAGTCCCCCCCATACGGGTGGTGGGCGGAGTGGAGGTGTGGGAACACACACGCACACATATACACAAGGAGCAGGGAGAGAGACCAGTGAAAAGGTGGATCCAGGAGCTACGAATCGACCCCTGCAACCACAATTAGGTAAGCACACACAGATACACACCAAACGTGAATAACGCCAATGATGATATACAGTACTTGCAACCAGCCTTACTCAGGCTACTTGCATATTGTGTGGTCACAGGGTCTTTCAAGACAGGAAAGTTAGCACAGCTGGTATATGTACTGAAGTCATATACTGCCCTCGTACAGAGTCAGCAAAACATTTAAACTATTGGGAACACCTCAAAGTTGTTGGATTATTCTCTTCTGAACGGAGAAGAGAGAGACACAACTGTTAGCATATACAGGAGGGCCCCAGTTATACTGAGGTTAGGTTCTGGTCTACTGTAGGGCCCCAGTTATACTGAGGTTAGGTTCTGGTCTATTGTAGGGCCCCAGTTATACTGAGGTTAGGTTCTGGTCTACTGTAGGGGCCCCAGTTATACTGAGGTTAGGTTCTGGTCTACTGTAGGGCCCCAGTTATACTGAGGTTAGGTTCTGGTCTACTGTAGGGCCCAGTTATACTGAGGTTAGGTTCTGGTCTACTGTAGGGCCCCAGTTATACTGAGGTTAGGTTCTGGTCTACTGTAGGGCCCCAGTTATACTGAGGTTAGGTTCTGGTCTACTGTAGGGCCCCAGTTATACTGAGGTTAGGTTCTGGTCTACTGTAGGGCCCCAGTTATACTGAGGTTAGGTTCTGGTCTATTGTAGGGCCCCAGTTATACTGAGGTTAGGTTCTGGTCTACTGTAGGGCCCCAGTTATACTGAGGTTAGGTTCTGGTCTACTGTAGGG